CCTCCTCTGCCTTGAGAGCAGCCCCGGTGACCAGTTGGCTTCTGAGTGCCATCCAGGGGGCTGTTTGTCCCTTGTGAAGCCTCTCAAGGCTTCTCCTTTTGCTCCTGCAAGAGACGATCCCCGCAGGGCCCTACCTCTAGGGCCAGGATGGCGAAGCTATGGCACGCGTACCACAGGTGGCACGCGGAGCCATTACGGCACGGGAGGCGGTGCCCTGACAGCTGGCCAGCGTGTATCCGTGTGCTGGCCAGCTAACTTCAGCCTTTTTTTGAGGCCGTTTTTCGCCCTCCCCAGGCTCTAGAGGCTTTATAGGAGCCTGGGGAGGGCGAAAACAGCCACCACCACCACCCCCGGCCCTCAGGAGCTGTTTTTAGCCCTTCAGGAGGCGCCCCTGGAGGCTCCGGAGGGCTAAAACTGGCCCTACAAGCAAACCGGAAGTCTGTTCCTGAACTTCCGGTTTGCCCACAGGGCCGTTTTTTTGCACTCCAGAAGCTTCAGCATTTGACACACACACACACCCTGCGCTCACCCCCCCTCTTGCCACGTGAGCCAAAAACGGTTCGCCATCACTGGTCTAGGGTGTGTGGCCCCAGGGCCAGCTTCCCAGGGAGAGATTGGGCTTTGCAGGGCATTGCACCCGGCTGCTTCGGAGGGCCTTCGGATCTCCCGTGCGGGGACTCGGTTAGAGGCCCTGCAGTTCTTCCTCAGCAGCGGATGTTTTCACGGCCACACGGCCAAATGGATAAAGGAATCCCGGTGGGGTGGGGGGGTTGAGGGCCTGGGATGGCATTGTCCAGATTCTCCCCGGGGCACGGGGGAAGCTGCACCAGCCTTGGGAGCCCAAGGTCTTCTCTGCAGCAGAGATGGGGAGCCTACCCAAAGTCCGGAGGCACAGCTGGCATCGCTGCCCATCCCACCACTTCTATGCCCCTCGCACCCAGGAGGAGGGAAGCGGGCGGGACTTACCTGGGAGCAGGTCGTAGCTCAGGTGGCGGTGGAGCTTGTCTTCCAGGGTGAGGAGGAGGGTCAGCTGTTAGGGAGGCACAGGCTGGCATGAAAGGTGGCCGCCTGGGGCAGACGGAGAGGAGGAAGGCACTTCCAAACTCTAGTCATAAAACTACTAAGGGAGGATTTGAGGGGAAGCGAAAGGACACTGGCGGGGGTGTCCTTGTCGTTGGGAGCAGTTTCAAAAATAAGCTTTATCAAATGACCTTTGTCCTGCCTCGGCCCCTTTCGCCCCACGGGCCCCCTCCCCAAAGGCCCCAAGCGGGGCCTGGTCTCCCCTGTGAGGGCCGTGGGCTTCCCTGCGCCCACCGCATCTGAACCCCCCGGCTCCCCAGGATGCCTGGCCTGGTGCTCTTCCGGCCTGCAGCTGCAGGCGCTTCCCCCAGCCATACGTACGCGCCATTGCCGCCTCTCCTCCTGCCACTCCGTGCTGCACTGCATTTGCACCACCTGGTGGGGGGGGGGGGGCAGAGGCAGCCCTCAGTAGGAGCCCCAGCCAAGGGCTTGCTGGTAGGGGGTGCCGGAAGCCGCCCCTCCTGTGCCGGTCCCCAAGCTTGGCTCCCCAGCCCTGCGTGGAAGCATCCCCCATGGCTGACAGCCCCCTCCCAATGAACACTCATCCGCCCCACACCGCAGCGTCATCCCCGCTAAAGCCGGCTAGGCAGCTTAGTCTTTTTCCCCAGAGAAACAGCCGTGCAGCCCCCTTGTGAGGGTCCCCAGGGCCACGCGAGGCGTCCCTGCGGGCGATGGGGGGAAGCAGATTTCTCCTCCGCTCCTGTCATGGGTTTAGTCCCCACCTCATTGCCCTGACACGTCCTGAGGCTCCCGGCCTGACCCCTTGCTGCCCGCCCTGGGGTGGGTCTGCCTCCTCTTCCTGCCCCCGCCCCCTCACTCCATGGGAAAACAGACTGAAGTGGTGCAAAGGGTGGAGGAGAGTCCCGCAGGCAGAGACCCTCCCCCCTTTTGCCTGCCTGGGCTCCAACCAAGGCAGGGGGGCTGCTGACCCGCCAGAGCCCCCTCACCTTCCGCGTCTCCACATCCAAAGGCTCCGGTGTGGGGGTTAGGGCTTTCTGGGGGTCTTCCAGGGCCTGGGAACTGGACTGTGGCAGGGTGTGGGGCCGGACGGTGGCAAAGTTCATCAGGGGGTAGATGCCATTCCTGGCAGAAAGAGCGAGATGGGTCAGGGACGGGGTCCCAGCAAGGCAAGTGGGGGAGCTGTCCGTCCCACGGCCCCCCCGTCCCCTGTGCTCCCCCAGCAAAGGGTCTGCAGAGGGAGAAGCGGAAGATGGAGAAACTCACCTGACGTCTTCCAAGAATTTGTCCAATTCCAGGAAAGAGACCTCTGAATATCTGGGGGGGGGGGGGGAGGGGGGGTGGTTAAGGGCAGAAAAGCGTCTCTTCCCAGCAAGACAGGCAGCTCAGCCCTACACAGGGACAGTTTGGGGGCTGAGCAGGAAGGGGTGACCTGCAGAAAAGGGGCTGTGGCATGTAGCTCATCCTGGCAGGGGCCAGCCATGCCAAGGCCACACCCTTCTGACCGGTCGAGCATCAGAGTCCTCCGGCTCA